GCAAGAGCTCAGGAATGTCAGAGTCAGCCAGGCTACTACCGTACACCAACCCAGATGGTGCCCTCCTGATTTGATACTCCTTTTGGCTCTATGTGTATTTCATCTTCTTGTATCATTTCCTCCAAATTGCAGCTGGTCTGCCTAGCAGGGATTTCCCTAGAAACTCTCACTGACTATAGTTACATGGGATTTGCGCCACCTTCAAAGTTAAAACATGAGTTTGGACAAAATATCTCAGCCAAAGTCTGAATTTAGGGAACTTAGGAGCTTTGGTTGCATTGTGGTATCCTTCTAAACAGCTATCATTTCACTCTCCAGTTCTGCAAATCTGAACTTGTTCTTAAAAGGCTACCCTCCTTGGCTTCAGATTTAAGTATCCTGTAACTCTGAGCAATCATACTTGGAGCACAGGACCCGGCCTAGCTATAATCTGTACCAGCTTCCTAGAGTGCTTCTAGCAACATCAGCTGGATATTCATCCTCCAAAGTCAGATCACCACAGCATTACATATCCTGTGGGATTCACTACTAAAGCCACAGCTCTCTTCCATTTTCCATATTCCTTCCACCCAAACTATTTTCTGGAAGGAGAAGAAGTGGCCTGACCACATAGCCCCAGCTTGGAAAGAGCAAGGACATGGGCTGGGGTGATGGATTAGCATTTTTCTTGAATAAACTGGGGAGCGAGGAGGGGGCAGGCAGGAGTGAGGATGATAGGTAAGGAGTTCAAGCCTTTTACTTGAACCAAAGTAGATTTTTTCAATATGAGGACCGGAGACCTTATTGGGCATCTAGGAAAGATTATCCATTTCCAGAGGACAAGAGATGTTCAAGCCACAGGCTAGAGCTTTAGTGAATAATGAATCAACTTGCAGGACCATTACATTACCAAACTCCCAAACATTTTCTTGAGGAGCTCGGTTCATGTAACAGGTCGTTCAGCTGTATTTTAGTGTAATTCTGCCTAGACTTCCTGGCCTAGTGAAATAACATTGCTTAAGCTCCCACACCACTGGGTAGAAGTTAAAAATCCAGGCTGGACTATGTTATCATCTGTAACACTATAACACACATTTTTCTTCTTTGGCAGTTTCAACAGCATTTGAAATCTTGCTGTAAAGTCCAAGGAAATCAGAATATGAGACCTTTGTTGAGAACTTTTCTTATAACATATATGTTTCTCAAAAAAAGTGCTGACTGGAAGCTCAAAGAATTCAGAAAATTGAAAATTACACAGTGTAAAGATACCAAGAACTGCTTTTTTGCTTTGGAGACCGGGGCAGGTTCAGGGAAATGTCAGTGCAATAGTGCAATAACTTTGCTGATGAAGGTTTACCATAATTGTTGATTTGTACTTCATTGGTGGTTTAAGGGCATCAGTTTTCCCTGACCTAACTCCTGAATTGGAAATAAGGTAACTTTTGGGGTTTTTTGTTGTGAGAGGCCAGGCACCATCTTCTGCACCTTTGTTGTTATTTTGCTCCAGTGAGTTAAGCTTGGACACTGAGCAATCAAACTGCCAGTGCTCACGAGCTGTAATTTTCAGTTTCCTAAGGAAGATACACAAAATGGAAATTGGCAAACTTGTGATTCCACTTCAGGGTGTCTGGTGAAAATATTTTGGACCAGTAACATATCTGAGAGAAGACTGGAGAATTGGCCAGACGTCCTGCATGTAACATGCCAGAAAAGCCAGAGCAGCATCCACTCACAATTCAAATGCTTTTTAGGGTTTAGAAAAGTTTAATTAGAAGAGTATTCACTCTTTATGAAGTATGACTTATAGAAGAGGGTTATATAGGAAAGCTGAAATTATCTATTAATTGACAGGTCTATCCTGGGGACTTTTCCCCCCTTCAACATAAACATTTGTCTTGAACATTTTTTTAAAATTACAGTAGACTAGGAGTTTGCCAAATATTTAGTGGTTTTGTAAAGTTGTTTGGTATTCATGTCTACTACAGTTCTACAGAAAACAATTTTAAGAGCCATTTCTTTCACCATATGGCAGGCAATCTAGAGAGGGGTGCAGGATAACAAACTTTAAAAAGATGTGCTAAAGAAAAATGTGATTCGAGTTGCTTTTATAATTACAAAAAAAAAAAAAGAGAAGCTTTTGCAGAGGCTGGAGTCACGTCCTGCCAATATTTATTACAGTGTTTATCATTAGAAGAGTGATTTTTCACATGTTCAGTCTATTCCAAAAGACAATGCTGCAATGTTTTCAGCTTTTGGGCATCCTGCCTTCCTGAGAGTAGATTGGAGACTGACAAAAGCTCTCTCCTTCCCCACCCTTGTTTACATCCTCACCAGTCCATGGCAGAACCCGGACAGCAGAACACCAGAGTTCCTGCTCTTTTTGGTTCCCTTCCAGACACGCCACACACAGATCAAAGATCAGACCACATCTGGTCTTTGAAGACTGTGGGCAAGAGGAGGAAGCGTGAAAAGGGCCTGTTCTGCATTTTACCCAGTGGTGTAGTCACATGTAAACATAGATAAACACAGGTAAACATAGATAAACACAGATTTCTCTGTCCTCGTTCAGGTAACATAGAGGTTAGTCTCCAACCCAGAGCTGCACTCTTTCAAATCTTCTCTTTTAAATAAACAGGTGACTTGATCCACTTTATTTGGACCAGTCAGCTACCATTACATTTAAAAGAGCAGTCCAGATCCCATGCCAAGGACACCTTCCTCATCAGCTAGCACCAGCAGGCCAGAGCATGCTGCACTTCCACACCTGCACACTGTAAAGTTCTGAGAAACACAGTTTCCTGCTGTTCTGTGATGGTTCTTTGCTACCTTTTAACTTTATTTTTTTTAAGAGTCAGAAAGTTGCATGGCAACAGGCTCAGTTGCTAGGCTGTGGTAAAATAATTTGTACCACTTGAGTGTAAAAGTTAAAACTGGAAGCACTGAGGATAGAACTGAATTTATTTTAAACCATAGCTGGGCTTTCAAATTAGCTATTCTGTAATCCCAGTTCAGTTTCAGGAATTCCTGCCTGGGAAATCCTGAAGATCATCTGAGGACAGCTTTCAGTAACCACATATTGTATGGAAGTTTGCCAGGAAAACATGGAGAGAAGACCCCAGGGACAGTGATCTCTCAGGAATAAGTGTCAGCCCATAGGAAGCTATACAAGTCTACTGTCAGTGCAGCTTTGAATTCCCTGAGGGTTTTGAAGGAAGGTTTCTGTTATTCTACTGCAAATTATCTCACTGGAGACTCTTTATGAAGTGTCTTAGAGCCATATAGTCTTAAATGAGCCAACTTCTTTCTTGCTACCTGCATTTCAAAAATCAGGTGCTATGTTTTTCTGTACATGTGCTATAAACTCCCTCATATGGAAAACACTCATAAGACTTTTGTGGCAGGAGTTAAGTGTGAACAGGCTACATTTATATTTATCAAGTAGTGATGATATGCAAAAGGAGGTTTTCTATTTACAGGCGTGGCCTTTTGTTCTCACAGACCGTTTGGAAGGAATATTAAGAGAGGCCAGACTGTAGGACAGGCAGCAACATTTCCTCTACTGTCTCTACTGTGAAGAGGTTACTGACCAAAGCTACTGCCAAAAGAATCACTACTAACTAAGGAATCACTAGTTCGCTTTCAGATCTTAAGCATTTATCCTTAATTAGTGTTTACTTGCACATTCAGGAACATAGGTGTGGCCATTGATAAGAACCCTTTCATTCCCAGTCTTTAACATTAGGTATTCACACTGGCCAGGAAAAAAGAGGAAACCAACACTAACTTCCCTCCATGCCAGACAGCTGCTTGCTCTGCTCCCTCTGTGTCTGACTTCAGCTTTTTGATACACCATCATTCAGTTCTGCTGTGCCCTCTGCTCTTGCCTCGTTGCAAGACTGACATGACACATGAAGTTCCATTCTGGCTTGCAAAATTTAAAGGGTCAGTCAAGACCATCTGAGACCTCTGTGTCCAGTTCCCATGCTCTACTAAAGAATTACCACATCCCTCTGATAAAAACAGAATAAAAATTTAAACAATATAACTTTCCACTTTTTAGGTAGTTAGGTTATGCATTTATTTCTTGTTCCAGCATAGGATTGCTGGGCTTTATGTCCAGCTAACTCCTTACCTTTCTGAAAATCCATTTCAGCTTTGGGATCTCAACAACTTGGTTCCACAGTGAAGATAAACTATAGAACTACTGGGGATTAACTGCATCCTAGCAAGGCCACAACCCAAAGGGTTTTTGTGAGCAACGAAACGTGTGTTGTCATTAGTTGACTAATTGGCAGCACTTTAAATGTGTTTTGTACTATCCATTCCAGACTCTTAAAGACTGGTGCAACTCTTTATACCCAGTGCATAGTTCATACTTTGTGAGAGATGATTCTTGAAGACACACAGCCAAACCTAGATTCAGAACTCCTAACAACCATTTGAGCTTTACTTCTGTACACAAATAAAAGAAATACTTGTTGTCTGTCAGATACCCTTATTTGAGAGAACTTGTATCAGTATTTATGTTGGCATGATCCCATATCCTTTGCTAGGAATAGGAGCAGATATGCAGCAAGCTTCCCTGTTGGAGATTTTCCAATATCTGGAGCAGTGCACCATAATTACTATAAATGTCAGCGGTGACACTGGATGTACTATATACACAGGGTAGAAGGAGTAGAAAGGGCAAAATTCAGTAATTTTAGGCCTCTATACCCCTATCTTCTGACTTATGCTAACATTAAAAATATGGAGGGGAAATAAAAGGAATACTTGGCACCACCCTGAAGACATGTAAGGCCAAGAGAGCAATCTAACATGGATACAATCAGATCATAATAAGAAATACTTAATTCAGGACTTGATGACAAGCATGTTTCTAAGATTTTTCACCTAAGGAACAACAAAACCTCATTTTGAATTCACGAGGACTTGCAAGACTTTGGAATGCAAGGCACTTTGATATATCTCAAGATTTCTCATTTTTTCAGATGGCAAATCAGGTCTCTTTTACTTCCTACCTGATGCTGGGTATTTTCTTCTCTTGCTGAATATAGTGGAAATTCAGGATACTCTTCAAGTCCAAGGGACTTTCAGCACCTCACAAGGGCAGTACCTCTGTTAACACAAACACAGTCTTATGTTAGACTTTAGAAAACATATTCTGTGAGAGATTTGAACATGTCTAAAGTAAGAATCAGATGCAACAGGATTCTTTGAATTACCTATGAATTTTGTTCCTATATGTCCATTAGCACATTAATACTTAATCATCTCCCTAGTCCTGTCACAGTATCTGACACAAACTCTATTTCAGGATTCATCTTTAAGTTGTGAGTACATTCATCCCTCCTTGAATTCAAGAGGAAAAGAGGAACAGCATGAATTAGAACATTTTGCCTACTGTAGCGCTTATTACAGAACTTGTCACTTCCATATTATAAATGAAGTTTAAGCAACAACTTTCTGTCAGCGCTCTTTAAAACATCTGCAGATGTACCCAATTTCCCAGAAAAGACACTGACATTTACAAGGGAGTCCTTGTATGTGTATGTGCGGCGGTGCCAATAAAACTCTACTCCTTGCAGTTCTGAAAATGTTTCATGTACTACTGAGACTGCAGTAGTGACAGCCCAAAGAGAGATGTACATTAGATTTTTCATTCTTTCTAAGCATAGGCAAAATTTTCCCTTTTCATGTACTTTCTCCCTTACATACTTTTAATACAATTTCCTTCCTCCCCTTGTGACACTGGTGATGTAAATCCTAGCCCATGTGGAACAGAGTGAGAATCACTGTCATTCTGAATTCTTTCAACATTATTTCATGTTTTCAGATAACCAAAATTACAAGAAATACAGTTGGATGATTTGCCACAACTGAATAATATGTGACACGCAAAAGGGAGATATGAATGTCTTCAGTCATCATCATTACTAGCATTGGACAACTGGATAAGTTTCAGAATCTGCATTCTCAGAGGTTTTTTATTAACAATTCTAAACTACACATATATGTTGAGGGGACAGAACCGGATTTTGGCAGCTGTGTTCTGTTCTTAACAAAATCTCAGCTGTTTTATTTTGCTTTTGCTATGGCAAAATTAAAAAGCCAATCTCAAGACTTTTACCCTATAAGAGCAACATTATGCCCTTTTCTAGTTTTTCCTCAAGTGAAACATTAATTACTGCCTTTAAAAAACTTTCCGCGCTTCTAAGACAATGTCTAAGACATTAAATAGCTCACACCTAAAAATAACCCCAAATGCCATTAATTTAAAACAAAGTGATAAACTCCCTTATTTCTCAAATACACAGAAAATAAAGCACTATTCAGCAAGGTTGCAATTGCAATAGTTTTCTGAAAACTGTATCTCCTAGGTCTAACTTGGACTAGATGTTATTCCTGTACTGTATTATTTACTATTGAAACACCAGAGTTTGTTTCATCTTCTCCTCCAGCCTTCCTCACCCCAGATTCTGTATTTTCAGAAGTATAATGACTGCTAGATAGAGAACCTGAAGTGACGCATCTGCCAATGGAGCTATTTCTGAACAAATATCTTAAGGACTCCTTAATTACCGAGGCTTTCATTATCAGCATAATGTTCATTCTGCTAGGAATTAGAGTTTATCTTAGATAAGCCTTATTTGCTTGCACATGCAAACTTTGCTGTTTCCTTAAGGCAGTGTCAGGCTCTAGGTAACTGATACAAATGCAGCAGATGGAGTTACCATTGCAGTCTGCCCCCGTGGTTATATACAGCTATATTTTTTTTCAAGTAATAAATTAAAGAAAACATTTACCAGAAAGGGGAAAAATAATAAAAAAATACATCCTATTCAGACAGCTGTAACTGCAACTTCCAATTAATTTTTAACAATATTTATCCAAACATACAGAGATGCAGAATGATTTTGCTGGTCCAGTAGAAGGGAGGGAAGGAGGTATGAAAGAAGGGGAGCTCACCTGTAAGACATGCTCAGTAATCCTGGCTGAGCTTTTCTTAACTACTCCATATTCCTTTTGGCAACAATTTTTTTAAGGTAGAGTTGGGGATTTTCACATATATAATTTTCCCTGTGTCACAAGGCATTGCTGCACATATGTAAGTTAGAGGTTACCAGGCAAGTCTTGGCAAGGACATTTTATAAAGCTTCCATGCACTTTATATTTCATGCATAACTCTCCCATGCAACTGTCAGCCCTATATTTAGTTAGTCCAGCACTGAGGAAAACTAATTGCAGCAGTGGCAGTACTGCCAGGCTTACTATTTCTGTGTATTGCAGAGTTCCCTCTCCCATCCACTCTGTCAGGGAATAAGAATAGTTCTTTACTTTCTGCCATTTTAACCTTACACATCAAGAAGTGATGGCTGTGCTGCACTCACCTACACCCTACAATAAGAGGGCTGACATTGAAAGTGCCTAAGATAGGAGATTCTGAGTGTGCTGCTGTGCCTGCCTTTAGCAGAGTTTTAAAGAGGGAGTTCTTGTAGTCTTCACTTTTGTCTCCAGGACAGAACAACTTATAGCACATTGGCTAAGAGAAGGGCTGGAAAGCCTAGGGATTTCATGTTAGTATTGAGGTTTTTTTGATGAATGGTTCAAGTTTGTGTGCTTAAATTTACATAAATAAGGGAATCATAGAATCAACCGGGTTGGAAAAGACCTACAAGATCATCAGGTTCAACCCCTGATCCAACACCGCCGTGGTTACTAGACCATGGCACTGAGTGCCAAATCCAGTCTCATCTTAAAAACCTCCAGGGACAGTGAATCCACCACCTCCCTGGGCAGCCCATTCCAATGTCTGATTACTCTCTCTGTAAAAAATTTCTTCCTAATATCCAACCTAAACCTCCCCTGGCAGAGCTTAAGACCATACTGTGTGTGTTTCAGTATAAATATAGAAATTAAGTTTGCTGAATTTTAAATTTAAATGTTTTGGCCCTTCTGAGGGCAAGATTAGAAACACTTAGCTGTCCATTTCAGTTGGTTAAAATAAAAATCCACTTGTAACACAGCTCCAAAATCTTCACAGTAGCAAAATAGCTTCCATCCAAAACTTAATGAAATTAGAAGCCAAGTGTCCATGTGGACACCAGGGAAATAACAGCTATTTGGCAACAGCTTTCTTGGCTGTTACTCCTCTAGATTATCCCTCAGCTTGCATTAGTTTTCCTTTACCCATGTTAATCAATCACTAACCCACTAATTATATGAGATTGCCATCTCAAACAAATTTTTAGATCATTACAAGAAATCATACTTGAGATGAGATTTGTTCCTTCTGTTTCAGGGATTGAAAATTGGGTTTGAAAACTTGGTATACAAATGACCTCAGCAAGGAATAAGTCAGGTCCTGCACTGATGGGAACAATCCTGGTCTCCTGGGAAAGGAATGTATGAGACAGAAGTGCCCTATTATCTCATGGCTTTATTTCCCTTAGACAGGGTAGGAAAATACTAAATGAGAGAGGTTAAGGCATAAATACCAATTTCGCAAGGCAAAAATAGAAAACAAATTTGATAAGAAAAAACATAATAAATGAATAGGAGTGATGAAAAGTGACTACAGACCAAAAAGAACAGATGAAGCCAATAACTTGAAAATGATCTAGATGTTATGGAAAACAAATTAGTGAAATACCAAGAGGAAAAATAAGTAAAAAATTAGATGCCCTTGAGAACTGAAGGCTGGAGGAAGGAAAGTTATGAACGGGGAGCTAGTCAGGAGCAAGTAACAAAGATCAGAAAATGAAGCATGTATTTGAATTGGCACCAACAAGAGAAAATTACTTCAAATATGGCAAAAATATTTAATGCCCTGTAAAATACCAGCTTTATGTGTATAACAGACTGACTGGTATGAAAATGTTTTTATAGCTCCAGGCTTCACTTGACATTAAGAATTCTTGGAAAGGTAGGCTAGAGCTCTGCTTTGTCTACTCCAGGCCTTTCCTGAACATGCTAAGAAACATGCCTTGCTTTTTCTGAGCAATCTTGTGTGAGTGCCTCACTTTGACCACCCTGTTAAGCTTCTTCCACACCAGCCTGGTACAATTTCTCCAGTAAATTACAGCATTTGTGCATATATGATGAGTTTTCCATATGTACTATGATCAAAATAAGAACTGTGACCTAAGGAATACTCTCCTAGTGGGAACTCTTAGTTATTTCTATGCTGTCAAAAGTATTTTAAGATCACTTCATGACTTAATTTCCTGTTAAATGTGCAATACTTAGCACATATATTTTGTCCTTAAAACCCCTAAGTGTTAAAGTGGCCCCATTGAAAGCATGCTTCACATTTAACAGATAAAAAACCATGTGGAGAGATCAGTATGCAACTCAAGTGAGTGAGAGAACTCAGTGTAAGGGTTAAGGACAAATATCAAAGTTCACTTCAGCCTTGAGCAAAGTATATTGACCTGGGTTTTTAATATGTCTTCCAATTCTCTTGTTAGGAAAACAGTCCTCTTGAAAAATGTCCTTAGAATACTGTGCTTGAAGTCAGGAGTTTTGGTGGTTGGTTTTCATTTGTTTAAGGGTTTGTGTTAAGGGTTCTTTTGGTTGTTATAAGGTTTTGAGTACAACACTTGCACTTTGCCAGCCATTTGCTTGCTACATTTTTTCAGACAGATTCCAGGGTATGGCATGATGTCTGGTTACATGAGCTCCTTAGTGAACAGAACATAAAACACACAGGAAAGGGGAGCTTTCCAAAACTTCACAGAAGCATATAATATTTTATGTTTTCCTGATGGGTAAGCCATTATCCAGCTTTCCCTGAGTTATGTAACATTACATTTTCTCAAGGCAGGCCTGAAAGATGAGGGCACCAACCTGCAGATGTGCTCTTGCTCACTGTACTCACGGTGAATCACTCTGAAAAACAGCTCAGGTTTGGTTTTGGTTTTTTTGGAACCCCCTCCCCTGAGATTCACAGAACTGATATACACATAGTTAGCCATGATTTTGTAAAGATGGGCTTTCACCTGTAACATTGGAAGTTGTCCTTAACTTACAAGAAGAGAATTTGCTAATAAAATGCCACCTAAAATGACCCAAGTGCAAAAATTCTGATTGTGTTGTTGTCACCACACATACAA